ATCATTTCTTAGGTTTATAGGGGATGTAATGAACAATATATAGTAATTTCTATATATAGAAAAATCTGTGTAATGGTTCCACTAGTCAGTATTTTCACCCTAGGGCTGATTCAGAGATTTAACAAAAGGCTGCGTGAATATTTTGGAACACTGTAATATTTTTCTTCTTGTCCTTGGAAAAATAATTGCCATAAATCCTTAGTATATATTTAATAGAGAAGTAATTTGTCATATAGTGATTTGATTTTTTTTTTAAACAGTTACAGTTCTGTGCCTTCCCTAACGCTCATCTAAATTGAAATTTTAGATTTCAAAAATATCATTGCATCCCATAGAAGACAGTCCTCTTGAAGAGATTGCAGTTTTAACCCCAGAGGATCTTGAAGCAATCAAGAACCCAGATTCTATAACAAATCAAATTGCACTTTTAGAAGCCCAGTGTCATGAAATGAAACCAAACCTTGGTGCCATTGCAGAGTATAAAAAGAAGGTATGAATAAACTGTTAATGACTTAGTCAGAAATTCTTTAATCCTTAACCTAAATTGTTAATTTTAATTTGTATAATTAGCAGTTTTAACTCTCATTTCAGAAGAGTAACTGAATAGATGTTTTTGATTTTTTTTCATAGGAAGAATTATATTTACAGCGGGTAGCAGAATTGGACAAAATTACTTGCGAAAGAGATAAGTTTAGACAGGCATATGAAGATCTACGGAAACAAAGGCTTAATGAATTCATGGCAGGTTTTTATATAATAACAAATAAATTAAAGGAAAATTACCAAATGCTAACTTTGGGAGGTGATGCTGAACTGGAGCTTGTAGACAGCTTGGATCCTTTCTCTGAAGGAATCATGTTCAGGTTTGTAATTATACTGAGTTTTGGATCCTCTTGTTACATATCTCTATGTATTCTCCAAACTGTCAGTATTTTTTTTTTTTTTTTTTTTTTTTTTTTATTTATTTATTTATTTGACACTGACAGGGATCACAACTGGGCAGAGAGGCAGGCAGAGAGAGGGAAGCAGGCTCCCCGCTGAGCAGAGAGCCCGATGCGGGGCTCGATCCCAGGACTCTGGGATCATGACCTGAGCCGAAGGCAGAGGCTTAACCCACTGAGCCACCCAGGCGCCCCTGTCAGTATTTTTTTAAGGGTGGGATGTGTAGTTTAGATCTCCAGCTTGTTTTGTTTGATGGTGAGTACTAATTTGTTTACATGTTGGCAATTTACAACATAAATTCCGGGCAAGCAGCAAACAAATACTTAATTTTACACTATATTTGTCTAGTTCATCTTTTTAAATTTTTGAGCCATTTCAGTTTAACATTAGGATTTAAAGTTGCAAAGCAAAAAAAAAATGCACTGGAAACAGAAGAATAGCAAGAAGTGTTTACTGTCTTGCTGTTTAAATCTTAAAATTTTGGTAGGTGTTCTTATGTGTTCGTTCTCCAATAACATTTTTACAAAATAACTTCAAAAAAGTTTAAATCTGTGAAAATCAAATTAGAGATCCCCAGAAAGATAGTAGAAGCCAGTTTTAAAGCAAACAAATCATGAAATCTTCAGCTTTTGCAAGTTATCTAATAAGAGATTTTCTTAATACAGTGTTCGACCACCTAAGAAAAGTTGGAAGAAGATCTTCAATCTTTCAGGAGGAGAGAAAACACTTAGTTCATTGGCTTTAGTATTTGCTCTTCACCACTACAAACCTACTCCTCTGTACTTCATGGATGAGATTGATGCGGCCCTTGATTTTAAAAATGTGTCCATTGTCGCATTTTATATATATGTAAGTAATCATTTAGAGGTTTTCATTCTGAGAATTTTATAGGAATTTATTTACATGGAATTTACGGACTTACTTCTTTTGAGCTTTTCCCCTATACTCTTAACACTGTGTCCTGTAGTATCTGAGAGACCAAGTCCTTTATTTGAACTAAATATTTCTAATTTGGACAAGTAATGTAAATTAGTAGCAGAAACCCAACTAGAATCCCTGGTCTCCTTAGATTTTTTTTTCCCCCCCCACTAGAAGCTTCTAGGCAACCATGCAGCCCAAAATACCCAAATTCCTCTCAAATGCTGTGTCATAAATTACACATGCTATCATTCCTCTTCATCTTAATTATCAAACTAATGTTGAATTTATTGCCCAGCAAAAACATTTCAAGTAAGTTAGATGTTTGTTAGGATTTACTTGTTACTAATACTTCCATTTTTTTCTCTCTTTAGGAACAAACAAAAAATGCCCAGTTCATAATAATTTCTCTTCGAAATAACATGTTTGAGATTTCAGACAGACTTATTGGAATTTACAAGACATACAATATAACAAAAAGTGTTGCAGTAAACCCAAAACAAATCGCATCTAAAGGACTTTGTTGAATTTATTTATAGCCAGGATTCCTTAAATTGAATCAGCGTAGATTGAGCATATTGTATTATTGATTTTCTATTTGTAAAGGACTATAAATTATGTAAAATATATATTCCTAAACTGGATCATATAACTAACTGGTTTCTAGTTTATGCTATTAGGAGATAGGTTAAATAGTCTAATAAAATATTCTAGGGACACCTGAGTGGCTCAGTTGGTTAAGCATCTGCCTTTGGCTTGGGTCATTATCCCAGGACCCTAGGATTGAGCCCTGTATCAGGTTCTGCTCACTCAGCAAGGAATCTGCTTCTCCCTCTGACTCTCCCCAGCTTGTGTCCTCTGTCTCTCAAATAAAATATTTTTAAAAATATTCTATATACGTGCTTCTAGGTTACTAAGAATCTGACAGTTTTGTAAGCAGCAGACTTTGGAGAAAATAAGATGCTTGGGAGTGCTAGATGATTTGCCCTTACTCCAAAGTTACTACCAACAGAGTTAAATGTTCGTTCATGAACAGTAAGTTCTAAACTACATCATGTTACTCAAGATGCAGTATACCATCATGGATCCCTAATCTACAGTGGAAAAGCCTACCAACTACTAATGAATAAATTCTTAAGGTATTCTATTTAATTTACTATAACAGTTTGGACAGTCACTGTATTTATTACCCAAACAATGGGAACATTTTTTAAACAGTTCTGAATTCTGCAAGATGAAAATTTAAAAATTTTATATGCTTTTCTAACTCAGTGTGTTTAAAACTTGCAAGAGGGCCAGCCAGCAAACAAACAGGCAGTATCTGAACATGAATAAGATACTCATCAGTGAAAAAGGAATAAATACCCATTATTATTGCTTTATTAAAAAAAAAAAAGTATGTAGGGGTTAACTTTCTTAGTATAAATGGGAATTGTTTGCCTATCCATCTGCCAGGGCTTTTTCTTTTCTGCATTAGCTTGGTGTTACACTGTAACTGAAGTTGGCAACCACTTGGTTTTCAAGAGGAATTCTGGTATTGAATCAAGTCTTTGCCCTAGCTATTTGATTTTGGGATACTGATCCTAAGGAATTAGAACTAAAAGTTATTAGCTCAATAATCAGCCATTGTTTAGGTATTAAAAGATCCAACAAAGATGGTTTGTATTATAACACAGTCATTAAATATGTAAATACATGAGCATGGACTTAAATAAAGCAAGATGTGAAACTCTAGTATGGTCATTTGTTTTAAATCAAGATATAAGGGAAAAGTAAAAAGAATATAATCAAGTGCTTTTTCATTGGTGAAAGTAGTGATTAATTTCCAGAATTTAATACTCTAGTACTAAGCTCTACAACATTTTAAGTCTTAAAAAAACGTTTAGATAATTCCCGTTACCCATATGAAAATTCCAGAGCTACTACCCCTGAGTTTGAGCACCTTATTAAGCCACTCAATGCACATAAAATAGCAAAATAAGTTTATTAAAATATATTTTGATACATAAAACTTAGAAATATTTCAAGAATTATATACTTTTACAGTTTCACCCTCCTGATAAGAATTCTAAAACAACAGCATGTATTAAGAATCAGTTATTTGTATTCTTGACTATATTCATACACACTACATAAAATTCATAGTTTTGTCTAAGAACTGGCAGCTTACAAAACAGTGTCAAACCTAAAATGTGTTAATAAGTATATGGTTCCAATCTTTAGCTATTATAAATAGATTCTTAGACATAAATTAGTCCTAAATGAATAAAAATCTTGGCTTAAGGTTTTGGTAGCATAACAGGAGAAACTCTAAAATTATACTGTCCCTTATGCAGGCTGTATGGCCTTAGGCAAACCGCTTCTGGTTGTGTTTCTTTATCTACAAAAAGTCGGAAGATAATTACTTCAGAAACCTGACATGAAGTGCTTGACACAAACAGCTAGAAATTTCAGTGCTTACTAATAGGTGTATTCAAAAAGTGAGGCATTTTTGTATTGTGACCAACCAACTTCAATCTAAGTTACTATGTTGTATTTTTATTTTAATACCTTAATATTTAGCTCACCACCATTAATACCCTCCAAGTGTTCTTTGCCTACGTGATTGTTAATTGTGCTATATATATATTCTGATTCTGGTCATATATTTGACTTCATACAGTCAGCCATCTTTGTGTTGATATTCTCAGCAGATAAGACATTAGGAACGTTTTAGAACTACAGCCATATTAACTCATTATAATTTATATGCAGTATAGGACCAGGAACATTCCCCAAAATGACCTGAAAGTCTGAACTACATAGGGCTCCTAGGGAATGGATCTAAGAGCAACAGCCAATTTGGAATTTCTGGAAAATGATCTTTTACTTAACGTTTTCATGAACAAAAGGGGCAAGCCAAAGTCCTACCACAAGCACCACAATTCCAGTCCCTATTAACAATAAGGGAACTAATCAAAGGGATTTGACTAGCCACACAGGCTCTCATTTAAGCAAAATTTAAGAAAGTTAAATTATTGGTACTTTGATAACAGCATTAGCAAATAGCAGGAAAAGACCATTTTTTAAGACAAATAGAGTTAACATGATGCCACCTAAATCCAATGATGGAAGTTATCGGCAATATATAATGCTAATATGTTTTGAGTTTTTATCCTAGAACAGGTTTGACTGGCAAGACTAAAGCACTAACCAAAATGTTAAATTTACACAAACCACAGAATAAAATAAGACCATTATTTGAAAAAGGTCACTGCTTGTTCCCTAACAATGTATTTCCAAAAGCCATAGCTTTGTCAGGAATGAATGTTGATAAACATTCCAGGGCTCTTAAGTCTATCTTAAAATACATTAATGTTATCAGGTAATCAGATATATTTGATCAAAAATATCCTTAATGTAAACAATCCCTTATCACTTTTAGACTTTGCTACTTGAATTTAATACCTCTACTCAACATCCTTATTTGGCCAAAGGCTTTAAGCCATATCAAAATAAAGGCCTATACACTAAGGATTTTGCTATCTTTTGATCTAAAAACTATTTATACATAACTGCAACACTATCCACTGCAGTAATAGAATGCTAGAAGACAAAAACAAAAAAGCTAAAAGACCGTATTGGTACAGGAGTATTTCAATGCCATAACGATAAAGTCAACCTCAAGCAAATAAAATGGGATAATATATTAAATCAAATAAACTAGATATTCTGGTTAAGACACCTTATGTATCATTTCTAACTGACAAATTTCCATCTAAGCAGCATGGATGGTTTAACATATTTCTATATTTGCTGTAAATCTGATAGTTTACTTTGCTATTTGTCCATCCTACCCTATATCTCCCTTTAGCAATGGCTATTAGTCTGCTGTACAGAATAAGCCTATTTAAACAATTCAGATTTGAATTTTCAACGAGAAACTATTTTCCACATGAATTCCTTCAGTAAATATAAAGTGTGACATAGCAGATTCTTTAAATCATGCAGATTGTTAGATAAATTTTGGTAAACAGATAAAGAAACTTCAGAAAAACATATTGAAGTGATTTCATTTAAGAAGGTTATTATGTGTTGGTTAAAAAAGAGGATCAACATCAGTATCACTGAAATTAAAGTAACTATAACAATGTTTAAAATCTTAAAAAATTCAACTTCTTTCTCATCTTTATCAGGCCAGGAACATGGCATCCTCTTTGAAGAAATTTTCATTTCAGGAATGAGAAGTTTCTTAATTTGTCCAATTTCTGTTCTGCTCCAATCTTCTTTCAATATTTGGCTTACTCGAGGATAAATTTCAACAGGTTGGACCTCAGGAAGTGGTCTTTGTTTCAAAATCTGCACATGTTGGCGGATATCATCAACTTTTTCAAGAAATTTAAGTGGAGACTCCTCCTGTAAAGATGTTGTCATTGTCATCAATTCAAGTTGCTGCTCTCTTATTTCTTTCATTCTTTCAATTTGTGGAGTATATTCTTGATTAATCAGGTTGCTAACATCACAGAGAGCAGCTAGGAAAATTTTTTTTTTCTGTTCCAATATATCACTAAGCTCCTTAAAATACTGGAGAACAACTTCCTTATCACTTTGGACCATTTTTTCTGAATGAGATTTCTGTTCTTCCAGCTTTTCGATAAGATGAGTAAGATCTGTCCAGTGTGTGTCGGTTAACTGTTCAAGTAGTTTTTGAGGCGTGTCCTTTTCTTTCAGATAAGCACTTTGAAGATCATCAATGGGATGACCATGATGTTGACCTATGGTAAGGCAATGACCACAAACTAGTTTTTTATCTAGGAGACAGTAAACATTTAATGGTTGTCTGTAATGTTCAGGACAGGTGACAATATCTGGATGGTCTTCTTGCTGATACTTTTCAATAATAGCCCTTAATGCAAAATTAACAGGTAAAGATTCAATACCAGTTGGAGCAATTTCAATAATACTTCTGCAATTGGGGCACTTGAGTGGAATTCGTAAAGGTCTCCATATATAAAAGTTCCCAGATGCCTGAAGAACGTTTTCCAAGCAATTTCTACAAAATGTATGAGAGCACGGTAGTACACGAGGATCTTCAAAAATACTATAACAAATGGGACATGTTAACTCATCCTCAAAATTGTGCATTTCCTGTCAAGAGAAAAAACTATTTTAAGCCTCCATGTAACAAAACACTTGTACATACATTTCTAAGTAATACAATTCCTAAAATATAGACATTTTTAAGAGCTTACTTTGGGACTAAAATCACGCTAAACAATTCTAATTTGTAGTAAGTATTTCAAATTAAAGTTACTTAAGTTTGCGTCTATGCAAAAGTAAAATTCAGTGTTCTGTTGAAGTCTACTCAATGATAACCTGAGCAACTTCTTACAATTTAAGTGCTAAAATCTAAACTATGCACAAGAACTGGAAATCCTAGCCACAGCAGACAAAAAGGAAAAGGCATCTACGTTGGTTAAAAAAAAGAAAAGGTAAAACTGTCACTGTTCACAGATGACAAGATACTTTATACAGAAAACCCTAAAGACCACCAACAAACTGTTAGAATAAATGAAGAGTCAGTCAAGTTGCAGTATACAAATCAATCTTGCATTTCTATACGTTCAACAGTAGCAGGAAGAAATTAACAACTACATTTACCAAAATAAAATACCTAGGAAGAAATCAAGAAGGTGAAAGACCTGTACTCTGAAAACTATTCAACACTGATGGAAGAAACTGAAGACAACATAAACAGGTTGAAAAATACACCATAGTCTGGATTGGAAGAACATTGTCAAAATGTCTATACTACCTAAAGCAATCTATAAATTCACAGTAATTTCTTATCAAAATACCAGGAAGTATTTTTCATAGAACTGGAATATGCCTAAAAGACCCTGAATAGCCAAAGCAAGTCTTGATAAAGAACAACAAAGTAGGAGGTACCACAATCCCAGATTTCAAACTATACTACAAAGTTGCAATAGTCAAAACAGTATGGTACTGGTACAAAAACATAGATCAATGAACAGGATAGCCCAGAAATAAACTCACATACATGGGCGATCTCTGACAAAGACAAGAATATACAATGAGGAAAAGATAATCACTTTAATGATGCTGGGGGAAATGAACAGCTCTATGTTAAAGACAAACTGGACCAATTTCTTTATACCATATACAAAAATGAACTCAAAGTGGATTAAAGTCCAAAATGTAAAACCTGAAAATTCCATAAAGAAAACATAGAAAATAATCTCTGGGACATTGGTCTTGGCAACATTTTTCTAGATATGTTTCCTTAAGCAAGGGAAACAAGCAAAAGTAGATTGGAACTACACCAAAATTGAAAGTTTCTGCCCAGCAAATGAAAAGGCAATGAGTGGTTATTTGTAAATGATACCTGATAAGGGGTTAATATCCAAAATATATAAGGAACCCAACACCCAAAAATGGGCAGAAGGCCTGAATAAATAGTTTTCCAAAGACATACAGATAACCAACAGATACGACACAATGCTCATCACTGATCATCAGGGAAATGCACATCAAAACCATGAGACACCACCTTAGGTTTGTCAGAATGGCTAGTATCAGACAAGAAAAATAAGTGTTGGCAAGGATGTGGGAAAAAAGGAAACCTGCACTGTTGGTGGAGTGTGAATTGGTGCAACCACTGGAAAACAGTATGGAGGTTCCTCAAAAAACTAAAAATCAAAATACCATATAACCCAGTAACTGCACTACTAGATATTTAACCAACAAATCTAACACTAATTCCAAAAGATGTATGCACCCCATGTTCACAGCAATAGCCAAGATATGGAGGCAAAATGAACAGATGAGATCTGGTGTGTATGTATATGTGTGTGTGTGTGTGTATGATAAATACATAGACACAATGGAGTAATCAGCCATAGAAAAATGAGATCTTTTCATCTCCAATAACATGGATGGACCTGGAGGGTATTAAGCTAAGCAGAAAAAAGACTAATACCATATATGTGGAATCTAAACAAATGAGCGGGGGCACCTAGGTGTCTCGGTTGGTTGTCCAACTCTTGGTTTCAGCTCAGGTCATGGTCTCAGGGCTGTGGGATAAAGTCCCATATGGGGGCCCTTGCTCTGTGCAGTTTTTTTTTAAGAATCTCTCCCTCTTCTGCCCCTTCCCCGGCTTGTGCTCTCGCTTTCATTCTAAATAAATTCAATCTTTAAAAAAAAATTAATGTGCAAACAAAAACACCAAAACAGACCCAAAAATACAGAGAACAAAAGTGGTTGTGGGGCAGAGGGTGGGTGGGGATGGTGAAACAGGTGAAGGCAACAGAAAGGTTCCAGCTTCCAGTTATGGGGTAAGGCACAACATTGGGAAATAGAGTCAGTGGTATTTTAACAGCTCAGTATAGTGACTGGTAGCTAAAATTCTGTGAGCATAACATATATAGAGTTGCTGAAACTGTTATACACATGAAACTAATGAATGTACATCATTTGTACTTGAAAATAAGTCGGGTTGTTTTTTTTTAAGATTTTATTTACTTGCCAGAGAGAGAGCACGCACTCGCATAAGCAGGGGGAGAGGCAGGCAGGGGGAGAAGCAGGCTCCCTACTGGGCAAGGAGCCCGATGTGGGACTCAATCCCAGGACCTCAGGATCATGATCTGAGTTGAATACAGACTCTCAACCAACTGAGCCACCAAGGTGTCCCATGAATTTTTTTTAATTATGCAAAAATAGGCAAGATCAAACATTTCTACTAAATAACAAATTGGGATTAGCAAAGTTATATTATTAATTCAAAAGAATTCATATTCCCAGGGCGCCTGCGTGGTTCAGTGAGTTAAAGCCTCTGCCTTCGGCTCAGGTCATGATCCCGGGACCCTGGGATCAAGCCCCACATAGGGCTCTCTGCTCAGCAGGGAGCCTGCTTCCCCTCCTCTCTCTCTGCCTGCCTCTCTGGCCTACCTGTGATCTCCGTCTGTCAAATAAATAAAATCTTAAAAAAAAAAAAAAAAAAGAATTCATATTCCCAATTGGCTCAACCATAGTTCCTAAGGCAAGGTATTAAATTTCTCTAGTAAGTTACTATAAATTTCTTAGCTTCTTCAATTGAAATACTAGTATGCTTAAAGTCCAGAATCAGCACAGTTTACTGCTACAAAGTAATACTTTTAATTTGGAAGGGAAAAACATTTTTTAATAGTCCTTCCAATAAAAACCAGTTTTAAAGATGAACTATTAATTGGGCTTAACTATGAATTACTGACCAGTAGAGCGTTAGTGGTAAAGAACATCATTAGTCCTCTTTTCCTTAATGAAAGAAACCCAGCAATAATAATTTGACCTCTTGGCAAGATATTTTTGACATTTCCAACAACAAAAGCCTGACAGTTTTGTCCCCTACCTCATCTTACAGTCTTAGCTTGTACCTATCCTTAATGCAAGCCACAATCTTCAGGAATTAAACTTAGCCCTGTAGAGAAAAATCAAGTTACACCATCACTTAGAGAAACTTAAGAGAGCAAAACAAAAAACCCAAGTCCCATTCATGTAAAATATAAAGGTTACCAAATCATCCTCTATAAAACTAACTTTTAAGATGAAAAGTTTGAGAAGATATCTACAAATAATTGTGTACTTTTATTAACTATTAAAAACCTCTTTGGACTTTTTGGCTCTATGCTCCTTCGCATTTTCAAAATCAAACTCTTATTCAAGTCTCAAATTGGGCTCTGCCTCCCCCCCCAAATAAGGTCTCTTATTAATCTCACTGAATGCTATACTGCAAATTTACAGCACTTAACCGGAGTTAAGAGAATTTTCTAAAATTTCCCTATATATTAGAGGATGTAAGCCTGTAGTAAGAGCAGTTGTTGTGTCTAAACAGAACTTTAAGTATTCACTACATGTATTCACTAAACACACAGTAGGGATTCACTCACTGATTGAATAAACACTACCCCTTAAGAAACCAACATTAAGGGGCGCCTGGGTGGCTCAGTGGGTTAAAGCCTCTGCCTTCGGCTCAGGTCATGATCCCTACATCGGGCTCTCTGCTCTCTGGGGATCCTGCTTCCTCCTCTCTCTCTGCCTGCCTCTCTGCTTACTTGTGATCGCTTGTCAAAGGAATAAATAAAATCTTAAAAAAAAAAAAAAAAAAAAACATTAATATCAGATCTTAGTTTTTTGTTTTTTAAACAGCAAAATCTCTACTTTTGTTTCAGAAAAGCTGTAACAGGAGAATCTATCAAAAAATATTCCATTCAGATTGACAATATTCAGAACCCTAATGAGCCAAGACATATCACACAGATACTAAGCCTGAATTGTGAAGCATTCCAGGAAACTCAACTGGGCAACAGTACAGATGATGACATTCAGTGCAGATAAGTGCAAGAGAATGCATGCTGGGAAGATTTCTTGACTTTCCCCTATATCTACAGAGAGCTCTATAATCACAAAAAAACACCCATGAAAAACAAACATGTTTCTCAGAGGATTTTAGTGATGTCAGAATTCACAATGAAGGAAAAAAACAAAACAGCACTTTACGGGGCACCTGGGTGGCTCAGTGGGTTAAGCCTCTGCCTTCGGCTCAGGTCCTGATACCAGGGTCCTGGGATCGAGCCCCGCATCGCATCGGGCTCTCTGCTCAGCAGGGAGCCTCCTTTCTCCTTTCTCTCTGCCTGCCTCTCTGCCTTGTGATCTTGTGATCTCTCTCTGTCAAATAAATAAATAAAATCTTAAAAAAAAAAAAAAAAAACAGCACTTTGCAGTGAACAAATAACTTTGAGCAGTGGACATATATTCAACTTAGAATATTAGAGCTATTTAATGTTTAAAAGTGCCAAAATTAGGCCTAAAACAGAATCAAACCTTTCCCTCTAAAGTCATATTTAACAAAACTCTAGAAAACATTTTTCCCTGAGAACCCATTTAGGGACCCCTCCAAGAGTTCAACTTTGTTTACAATGAAGATATTTACAACAATATTGAAAGAAAATGCCATCTCCTGGGCTCATATAAAATAAAAAGCAAATATGGTCTCAAAAGTTAACCTTCAAAGTATACAAACATTTTTAATAAAATGTAATTAGAAGTTTGCAGATAACTGGGATGCCTGGGTGGCTCAGTCAGTTAAGTTG